AGTTGTGGGCGTATTCTACCCAAACCAGATGTTGACTCCATGATGATGGGTTGGACTCGACCAGGCAACGCAGGGTGGGCTCCAACTCCTGATTGCAGCGTTCAGCTTGCCCGTTAGCCTGAGGATGGTAGCCGGAGGTAAGGCTAACGGACGCCCCGAGCGACTTGCAGAAGGAGTGCCACACCTGGGAGATAAACTGCGGGCCTCGGTCAGAGACGATGTCCGAAGGGATACCATGGAGCCTGAAACCATGAAGGGTGAGAAGGTGAGCGGTCTCGAGGGCAGAGGGGAGCTTAGGAAGGGGAACAAAGTGAACAGCCTTTGAAAAACGGTCAACAACAGTGAGGATGGTGGTGTTGCCGTCAGACGGGGGAAGGCCGGTCACAAAATCGAGGGCGATGTGGGACCAGGGGCGACTAAGGGTTGGGAGGGGAAGCAGGGGGTCAGCCGGAGGTTGGGTACCGGACTTGTTTCTGGCACAGACGGGACTGGCCAAAACAAAGTCTTTAATATCCTTGGACATGGAGGGCCACCAGAAGTGAGTTTTAGTGAGGGCAAGCATGCGGTTGACTCCAGGGTGGCAAGAGAGCTTGTTCGTGTGGAGCCACTGGAGCACGTCGGACCGCACGCTGGAAGGAACAAAGAGGGTACCGGGGGGACCACCACTAGGATCGGGTTCGGAGAGGAGGGCCTCCTGAACGGTAGCGGTGATGGGCCAGGAGAGGGAGCCGACAACGCAGGTGGGGGGAACAATGGTATCGGAACCCTCAGGTGTGTCGGGAGGAGCAAACTGTCTGGACAGGGCGTCGGATTTGACGTTCTTTGAGCCCGGACGGAAAGTAAGGACAAAATTAAATCTATTTAAAAAAAGCGACCAACTGGCCTGACAGGGGGTCAGACGCTTGGCGTTCCTAAGATAAGTAAGTTTTTTGTGGTCGGTCCAAATCAAAAAAGGGATCTCTGTGCCTTCCAACCAGTGCCGCCATTCCTCTAACGCGAGCTTGACCGCCAACAGCTCGCGGTTGCCCACGTCATAATTGCGCTCCGATTGAGAGAGATGTTGGGAAAAGAAGGTGCAGGGATGAACTTTGTTGTCTGCAGGTGATCGCTGAGAAAGAACCGCCCCTACTCCAGTGTCAGAGGCGTCCACCTCCAGAATGAACTGGTACGTGGGGTCTGGATGGCAGAGAATGGGTGTAGAGGAAAAGAGGGACTTGAGCTTCTTGAAGGCGGCCTCAGCCTCTGGGGTCCAGTGAAAAGCACGGGCGGTAGAAGTGAGCTGAGACAGGGGGGCGGCGACACGACTATAATCCTTAATAAAACGCCTGTAAAAATTTGCGAAGCCCAGGACACGTTGTAACTGTTTCCTGGACTGGGGGTTGGCCAGTCGTCTACAGCCCTGGTTTTCTCGGGGTCGGTTCGACAACGTCCGCCCTCGAAAATAAAACCCAGGAAGGAGACGGTGGAGGTATTAAACTCACATTTCACCGCCTTAACGAACAACTGGTTCTCCAGCAGCCGCTGAAGAACCGTGCGGACGTGAGAGGTGTGCTGAGTGGGGTCGCGAGAAAAAATAAGAATGTCGTCGAGGTAGACGAAAACAAAATTACCAATAAAGTCACGCAGGACATCGTTGACAAGCGCCTGAAAAACCGCAGGGGCGTTGGTCAACCCAAAGGGCATAACCAAATATTCAAAGTGACCCAAAGGAGTGCGAAAAACAGTTTTCCACTCATCACCTGTCTTAATATGCACGAGATGGTAGGCGTTTCTTAAATCAAGTTTCGTAAAACAAGAAGCCGACTGTAATTGTTCCTGCAGCGAGTCAATGAGGGGGAGCGGGTACTTATTTTTTATAGTTATATTGTTTAATCCGTGGTAATCAATGCACGGCCTGAGAGTCTTATCTTTTTTAGAAACGAAAAAGAAACCAGCTCCCAAAGGGGAGGTCGAGGGTCTAATAATACCTGAGGCAAGGGATTCATTAATATAATTAGACATGGATTCCCTTTCGGAACCTGAAAGATTATAAAGTCTACTTGACGGCAAGGGGGCGCCAGGTAATAAGTCAATCGAGCAGTCATAGGGACGATGAGGAGGGAGAGTCAAGGCGCGTTGCTTGCTAAAGACTGCCGCTAGGTCTCGGTATTCAGCAGGAACAGAGGTGAGGTCGATCTCCTCTAGAAGAGGCGTGTCCCAAGGGAACTCGTTAATGGCGGAGCGAAGACAGTTACTGAGACACTTGTCGCTCCATTTGTCAACGCAGCCGCGCTCCCAATTAATAACAGGGTTATGGTTACGAAGCCAGGGGAAACCTAGAATTATCTGAGGCGTACGAGAGTTGAACACAAAGAAATCAGTCATCTCATGATGATTACCTGAAATGATGATATGCAAATCGGTAGTCTTCTGATTAATACGGGTCAATGTGTCTCCGGTTAGGCCGGCAACAGAAATCGGAGGAATCTCACGAGTAGGCAAGGAATGTTCTCTAACTAAATCAGCACTAATCAGGTTTTGTTCAGCACCCGAGTCGATGAGAGCAGAAAACGAAAAGCGATGGTCAGGAGTCTGAATGACCATGGGAAGCAACAGTTTAAATGGGGAGGTTAACGCAGAATTTCCCACCAGTAACTCCCGCTTTACTGGTGGAAGTTCTCGTTTCCCCGAAACGGACAGTGGGGCAGAAAATGACCGGGGTTACCACAATAAATGCAGAGACGGGCGGATACACGCCGCTGTCTCTCTGCAGGAGTCAGCCGTGCGCGCCCCACCTGCATAGGCTTCGGCGCGCAATCCTGTGGAGAAAAAGACGATGATTGGTTGAGGCCAGGAAGCATGGAGGACTGGGAGTTGTAGTTCAAGGGAGGCTGCTTGGGTGAAACGGACTCGTGGCGAGGGGTCATGAACCCGGAGGTGGGAGGATTCTGGGAAGTGTAGTATAAAGGTGCAGACTTGGGCTCACCTGGAGAAGTCGGAAACCCGGAAGTCGGGGATCGATGGGAATTGTAGTTTGCCTCTCTCCTCCTTTCCCAGAAACGGTCATCGATGGAGATGGCAAGGTCTATTAACTTGTCGAAAGTCTCGGGCTCGTCTCGCGTAGCCATCTGGTCTTTGAGAAAATCAGATAAAGAGTTTAAGAAAATACCTTGGAGAGCAGACTCGTCCCATCCTGTTTGGGCAGCAAGGATCCAAAACTCCAGGGCGAACTCCGAAGCGTTACGACGGCCCTGTCGTAAATTCAACAAACGCTTGGCTGCGTTCGACGTCTGCAGGGGGCAATCAAAAATCCTACGAAACTCATGCAGAAATAGTTCATAGGTTGCCGAGGGATTTTCATGGCTCAGGAGAAATGAATGAGCCCACCAGAGAGCGTTACCCTTGAGCTGACTTACGAAAAAGGTGATCTTGGCCGCGTCCGAGGAGAACTGAGAGGGAGCCCCCTCGAAGGCGAGTCTGCACTGCAGCAAGAAGCCGCCACATTGGTCAGGGTCTCCGGTGAAGAACTCAGAAGGTTTAATGAATATTTGTTGAACAGGAGGAATGGAACCAGGAGCCAGGGGGCTGGCGGAACGACTGGAGCTGAGGAGGAAGAAGCTTGCAGTTGACATTTAATGGAATAAATCATACCTCTGAGCTCCTGAAGGTTGGACTGGACTGTGGTTTGGTGAGTCAGCACCTAATGTAAAACTTTATCCAACCCGTCGATCCGTTCCTCCGGGGAACCGGGGGTTGTCTGCTCACTCTTGGTCACATTCTGGGTCTTTTGTGGCTGGAGCATTTCTGTTAGGATTGCGCGAGGAATCCAGATGGTATGAGACCCAGAACGAGGCAGACACAGGGGAAGTCAAAAGAACAGTGTTTATTATTTACAGTGAGAATAAATCCACACGCTGCTTCTCAGCAACTCCTGGAAAGAGGGACAACAGGTTAATGTTGGTCCAGAGGGGAAGACCTGAGTGGTTTGTTTGAAGAGCGTTTTTGTCCTTACAGTCCAAATCCGAAGGAGGGGAGCTGGTCCTTCAGTCCAAGGAGTGAGCAGTGGAGGGAAATCCAATGAGGGTCCAAGGGAACGAGGAAGGCTGGCAACTGGAGGCAAAAAATGGCACGAGGAATACCTGACAGGCCGAGGGATCCAGATCAGGTCACGAGGAGATCCAAAAACACGAGGAACCAGGAAACTGGAAAAGAGAACGCAGGTGAACAAATTCTTTTCACCTAGACATATCTAGCTCAACAGTACTATACCATGAGAGGTGACATGCTCCAGCGATGAGTCACACTGGGCTGCAGCCTTTTGTAGATGGAGAGGCTCATCAGGCTGATGACCGCCAGGTGTTGTTAATCAGCGGCCATCAGCAAGGCAGGCTGCAGGCAGTGGGACCCTTACATTATGAAGCCTTAAAATATATATAAATTCTAAAATAATTATAATGTCCCTACGTCGCAGATTTTCACCCATTGCTGGGGTGTCTGGAACCCAACCCCCACGATAAGTGAGGGAATATCGTACTGTCAAGGATAAATATGAGGGCTCAAGCAGGGTGGTGGAGCAGAGAAAGTTCCACATTTAAGCACACACAGCTTTTGCAAAATTGTTACTAAAGTGACAAGCTTATCATTAAAGCATTTTTAAAAAATCCTAGTCTAACGCTCGGAATGTACATAATTTAAATCGTAATTTATCTCCAGTCAGTAATACAAATCAGTAAAATAATTATTAAGACTTCTCAACTTCTTTGTTTACAAATTTTTAATTTAAGAATACATTTAAAAATAAAGAATGTGGAGAAAAGGCCCTGCGATGGACTGGAGATCTGTCCAGGGTGTCCCCCGCCTCTCACACAGTGACTGCTGGACATGGGCACCAGTGACCCCCACAACCCAAAAAGGAAGAAGTGGGTAAACTTGATGGATGGATGGATGGATGGATGGATAGAATAGAAAATTTGAGAAAATCACAGTTATGTGCTTCTTCTCTTACTGTTTTGCTACTGTACCTGGCAACATGCCACTTCCTCTCCACCAGCAGATGAATGTCTTCAATGCGTCGGTTGTTGGCATAGTGCAGTCTCTTGGGCAGGTGCTGTTTCAAGTATGGCTTAAAGTGCTGGTCTGCTTTCTTACACTTTAACAAACATATTAAACAATCACTGTACTGTATGTTGTAAAAAAAAAAAAAAATCTGGTCAATCAAGAAGTGACAGACACTTGATA